TGCGACCAGAATTTGAATATGGACTTAGAAATATTGTGTCTATTTTCAATATTTTCGAAATGTTGACTCTTTCGTTACATGGAGATCGATTGCGAAATTCCAGAAATATTCCAAGAACAGTGTCAGATGATTTTAAACCTACAAACAAATATCAGTATTTGACTGAACACCATGAACTATTCCTGCCTAGCCGCTTTTTGCGGTGATCACAGATCAGTTAGCTGAAATCAGAAGTCTCAGAAAAAAATCTTATAACTTTCGAACGAAACAAGCTAGGTGTGTCAGTTTTGCGTAGTTCGAAAGTGAACAATTTTTTCTATTGATTAGTCATATTAAAACTCTAAACCTTAAGAGAAAACTAATCTTGTACTTGAAATTAGTACAATTACGATTTATTTGATGTAGAAACACATTGCACATTTGATTAGTTTTAAGCATATTACTAAGTCGAGCTATCCGATAAGGACAGACAGTAAGACTTTAGTTAGACCCTTAAAAAATATCTTCAGAATGAGCTGCTTAATCCTTGAAGATAAATTGATTTACATGAAAAATGATAATTATTAACAAGATAGATGACAATATATGCTTTTCTATTCATCTAGCTCATCAATTGTTGATAAATTGTATTTTTCAAGGAATTCACAAAATGATTTTCATCATAACAAAAAAATATTTTTACATGGGATAAGAAAATCAATACGAGATAATGCATGTAAAAGATTTGTAGTTGTATCGATAACATGTGTTAGTAAATGGCTTTTACATCTGAGATTTTTGATGATGTTTAAAAGTCACTTAGAAAAATATCAATAATATTGCTTAAATAAGAAAAAAAAAACCATAAAACAGTTGCCTAAATTTTAATTAAAAAATTCGCTTATTTTTTTATAATAGCTATTTTACCACAACATTGCAAATTGCAGCATTTTTCATATATTAATAATTTATGAGGTAAACTATGGACTAGCAGTTATTGGTTTACCGAATTTCGCAACGACCAATCAGAGCCTGAGGTCGTTTCGGATTTTGGCTTTAATTTTGGCCAATTATCATTATCCGCGTCTCTCCCTTTCTTGGATGGTGAAAGCTACAGGTCTCTATGATGTTCCTATCAAAAGTTATTCAAAAAACAATGGAGCAAGTTATATTTTGAAATGGATGGTAGGCTATAGTTTTTATTCGAATGAGGCTGCAACCATTTTTTTCAAGAGCTCGTTTCAACGTAAAACGGTCGTCGATTTTTCAAAAACGAATATTTATGAAAAACGAAAATTGAGGTGTCCTATCGCAAGACAAAAGAAAAGCTTCAATTAGTACGTTTTGTAAGGTAGCTTCTGATCTACAAGCCGGTATATAAATAAAGATAGGAACTATTAGTTTCTAATCGCAATAGTAAAAATATAAGAACGTGCAGAAAATTTTTTCGTTCAAACAAATTTTTTGGACTTTTTAAACATTATTTGACTACTTTCGAGCAAAAAATTGAGATAAAATTTCTAAGTTCATATTTGAAAAGAACACAAAATTCGGGTTCTAATTCACCGAAAATATTTTTTCTAACAGATCAAAAGTAAACAAACATCTTCTCTAGAAAAAAACTTTGCGATCAATTGTTAAAAAAGATTCTTTTTATATCTTATTGAATTATTATTTTAAAATATTTTTAGTTGAATATCCATATGAATTACCTCAACGAGAAGAAAATATTCAACCATCATCGTCAAATTCTGTTGAAACAATCACAGGATTAGCAAAAAATATGAAATTAAATGGAAATAAAACAATAGATGGACCAGGTTATCTATTAAAACATCCTTTCATAAACGTAAAACAAAGGATAATTATGTTTTTTTTTTTTTTTTGTATATTAAGAATCTTCAACATTAATATTAAGTAATG